AGATTGTGGGGAGCCCAAACGCAGAGATCGCTTCAGAATTTCGAAATCGGCGGTGAGCGTGAGCGAATGCCTGAACCAATTGTTCGTGCTTTTGGCGTATTGAAGAAATGTGCTGCTAAGGTAAACACTCTAGCTAGCTATAGGTTTTGGGATTTGGGATTTTGGGTTAGCATCTAAATTCTCATTTTGCTTTCTCGTTTTGGTTTGTGATGAATTGAGTAACTATAATTTAGGTTAACATGGAGTATGGTCTTGATCCAACGATTGGGAAAGCGATTATGGAAGCTGCACAGGAAGTAGCAGAGGGAAAGCTCAATGATCATTTTCCTCTTGTTGTTTGGCAAACTGGTAGTGGGACTCAGAGTAATATGAATGCTAATGAGGTAATTTGTATGCATTCTTGGAGATTTGTTTCTTAGGATCTTATTGTATAAACTGGTGCGAAGCATTGTTTTTATGTTTTGCTCTTCACAGGTTATTGCTAATAGAGCAGCTGAGATTCTTGGTCGCAAACGTGGTGAAAAATGTGTGCACCCAAATGACCATGTGAACAGATCACAGTCTTCTAACGACACTTTTCCAACTGTAAGATTTGATTTTTTATTCCAGCTACCAGTAATTTTACATGCTTAAAGTTCGTTGGATTGCTTATGTAGGCTCTCTGCACTGTCACGTACTAATTGATGGTCATATTGTTTTGGTTTTGTCTAGGTCATGCACATTGCAGCTGCAACTGAGATTAATTCGAGGCTGATCCCTAGTTTAAAAACTTTACACAGCACTTTGGAATCTAAGGTCTGACACTTTTTGCTCTTTCTCAAGTGACACACTTGATCTAGTCGGCTAGATTGCAACACAGCGCTTTTTTAACATGAAATTTGCTCTGACCTCAATAGTATTATGAATCCCTTCTGACCTCTGTTCAGTGTGGTGCTACATATATGTTGCAATTTTGCAGTAAGGAACATCTTCTGATCTTGATAATTTGTTATTTAAACCTGCTTTTCTCGATCTTTTATATAGTCCTCTTCACAATTCCGTTGCATATGAACTCAGGCTTCATGTCCTATCTGCTCCGCATTCTGATATTTTGTAAACTTACCTAACTTCTGGCAGTCCTTCGAGTTCGAAGATATCGTAAAAATTGGAAGAACTCACACTCAAGATGCTACACCTTTGACGCTAGGACAAGAATTTGGTGGCTATGCTACTCAAGTAAGTTGTTTGTTCAGAAACAATTGCGTCTGCCTGACAAAAGTGATAATCACATGCAATCTGGAAGTTATTTAAAATCTGTTGTCGCGTGATTTCAGGTTAAGTATGGACTTAATCGAGTAACATGCACTCTACCCCGCATCTATCAGGTTTGGAAATTATATTTTTGGAGGATCTGATCTCCTATACTTGTCCAATTTTCATCACGCTCTAACTTGCAAGAAATGTTTGGCCAGCTTGCACAAGGTGGAACTGCTGTTGGTACAGGATTAAACACTAAGAAAGGGTATATCTCATTTCTAATTTATTTCCATATCTAATTTCATATCCTCTAAGTCTACTGCTGGTAATATCTGTGCAGATTTGATGTCAAGATAGCTGCTGCAGTAGCTGAAGAAACAAACTTGCCGTTTGTCACTGCAGAAAATAAGTTTGAAGCTCTGGTTAGCCTCTAAACTAACTTTCTTACCATATAACACCAAACCCATTCGAGCTCTTGCGCTGGGTGCCTACCAGACATGATGCTCGCAGACAGTTGGTATATGAAATCAGTTTCTGAATGGTTCTGTTTTTTCCAGGCTGCACATGATGCTTGTGTTGAAACCAGTGGATCACTTAACACAATCGCTGCATCGCTGATGAAGATCGCCAATGATATACGTTTTCTTGGAAGGTATGCATCTAATATTTATGGTCATGGTCATGAGATGTGGTCTTGGTGAACTTGTTCTTATGGTTTAACATGTCTTCATATAGTGGCCCAAGATGTGGTCTTGGTGAACTTATTCTGCCTGAAAATGAGCCAGGAAGCAGCATCATGCCTGTATGAATGCAATCTTCCTTTCTTCTTCTTCTGTCCTTTTACTCTGTCCTGTAGGAAGCAGCATCATATACGTTCTATTTTTCTCTTTCCCAGGGCAAGGTAAATCCTACACAGTGTGAGGCCTTGACTATGGTTTGTGCTCAGGTAAGCTCTATATACATCAATACATTCTTACTGACATATGAATCTAAGTAGCTAAGTTTGTATTGTTCCTTACTTTTTGAGTTTCTGCATTCTGTAAAATTGCAGGTTATGGGAAACCACGTAGCTGTGACGGTTGGTGGGTCAAATGGTCATTTCGAATTGAATGTATTCAAGCCGGTGATTGCAAGCGCTCTCTTGCATGTAAGTTAATCTCTTTCCTTTCTGCATTTATTTCCTTGAATCTAATATAAAATGTACCAATCTAAACCATTTGATCTCGCGTCTTTTACAGTCCATCAGATTAATAGCAGATGCTTCAGCTTCGTTTGAGAAAAACTGTGTGAGGGGCATTGAGGCCAACAGAGAAAGGATCTCAAAGCTATTGCACGAGGTAGTCTTCTTCTCCTTAACTTGCTGGTCTTAAAAGTATCCACAGTGTGAAGATGATCTCTGAGAACTGATTTTTTGTTTGATATATTTCTCTGTAGTCTCTTATGCTTGTGACATCATTGAATCCGGTAAGTCTCCAAATATCTAAACTCCGTCATCCATTCTCCCATTAGTATTACAAATGAATCTACCTCGATGCTAAGTTCTTGAATCATTGTCTCGTTTACCAGAAAATTGGCTATGACAATGCTGCAGCAGTTGCCAAGAAAGCTCACAAAGAAGGATCTACATTGAAGGTAAACAATAAACTCTTTATGCTTCATCACGAAATCAAACGGGGTGATTTGAAATATATCAACAATATATCTAAAACAGGTTCGTGTTTGTATCAGTTTGTTAAATCTCGAGTTTTTAATTTATTCTACAGGAAGCAGCTATGGAGTTGGGTCATCTGACTTCAGAAGAGTTTGATACTCTTGTTGTTCCCGAGAAGATGATCGGTCCATCCGATTGATGTTGGTTTTGGAGCTAAAGCTTCAATTACCACTA